TTCAGCATGGGGGTGAGTAGAAAATGAAGGCTAATCATGTTTTGGGTGTACTATTCCTTTAAAGCTCCCAAATGAACTGTAGGGTATATAAACATGACAAAAAAAAAAATAGTTAAAGGAGAATGGTTAAAGTCTTTAAAAAAATTTACTTTAAGAAAAAGCAAATCTTTCTAAGGAGCAACTTGTAAAAACTTCATCCCTATCAGTGGAATCAACTGATGTAAAGGCTGTCGTGAAGCTGCTGCATCCCCCCCATCCTGATGTAGCAGGAGCAGTGTAACCTGCTTACAAAATATCAGATGAGCCTAAGATGATTGAAACCCTGGAGGTCTTACAGGTTTATCAGTAAATAAAGCTTTCAGGGAGGTTGGTTGGGTAGCTATGCAAAATCATCTTTCTGCTTTTATTGTTATTCTTTTGCTTGGACCTTCAAAGAGGAAAATAAGATGAGCAGTATGAGCCGATCAGACTAAAAATTTGTTTTATTTCTCGGTAGCAAAGCAACAAAGTCCAGGATTAGTCTTCAGAATTGTAATATACCACAGTGTGACTCAGAATGCAGTTTTGGCTCTTCAAAGTTGGTTTAAAATTGCCTCTAAAGTTTAAACTGTTTTTTTTCCCGAAAGGTGTTTGTGACTTTACCTCCAGCATGACCACACAGATCTGTTTGACACACTGGATGATGGCTTCTGGGGTTCCAGAGATTGTCACGGCGCGCTCAGTGGAGTTAGGAAGCATGTCCCCCGCCACCTGAACCTGAGCCCCTGTAGACTGCAGAAGAAGGGGAGACTGTGAGAGATTAATGTTTGCAGGATAACTCTAACACCGACCACATACGCAGAGCCACTCACAGAGGTACCGACTTCTGCAGAGAAACAAAATGATCAGTTCTGTCAAGAACCTCCTCCAGGTCTACCATGGACATTTGTTTAATGGCTTCTGAGTTAATTGAACTAATTGAGATGTTAAGTTTGGCTTCATCTTTAATATTCCCCCAGCTGAGACATGTCCATCTGGGATAACAACATCCTGCCTTGAGGACATTCTGTTTGGCACTAGACCGCCCGTGTGGAATTTCTCACATCCCATCTGCTGACATTAACCTGAGGGAAAACACTCCGCCCATTCCTCTGAAAAAAGCACAGCATAAATTATTATAGTAGAAAGAAAATATAAGTGACTGCATCTTCCCTGGCCTTCAGTCTTTATCATTCCTGATTTCTGGAAAATCATTTTTAACATCATTATCATTCATGCATCAATAGGTCAGATATTTCAGGATGGATCTACAGATAAAGGCCAAATATGCTTTCAGGTCTCAACAGGAATGAACAGTTCTGACTTTGCCTCAAGCATCTGTTTTCTTCAGCACCTCGTCTCGGAAACTGTTCACACATTTTAGGATTGCCAGCTGGACCTTGACTGTGTGTGTCTTCACTGACCTCCAATTAGAAACGACTACTAATTACGAAACATGGGAATTATACAGTAATCCACCATAACACCCACACCGTCTACTGACACTTCTCTGGTCTCTGCATCCATATCCACTGATGTTTTGCAAAAATCTAAGATAATTCTAACCAGTTTGGGCTTCCCATTCAAATTATGAACAAACCAAACAGCCACGAACAGATTTAGATTTTTTCAGGAGTTTATTGAGCTATCAATGAGTAAAGAGGTTTGGAGAGAAGGGGAGGTGAGACTTGCAGTAAGGCAGATTGTCTCAGAAATATGACCGAGGTCTGTATATTCTCAAGTTTGATTATTGTAATTTCTCTGTCAGGGAATCTCTTACAATGATATGAAAGCGAATCCAAAGTGCTCGAGGCTAAAATGAATTTCTTATTCGGATGAGAATAAGAAATACATTTTAGCCTCCGTCTATTGGTTCACTGTTACATCCAGGGTTCCTGCAGTTTCTAGAACACAATGAAGATCTTCTTTAACCATAAGGCTCTGTTCCTTCTTAGACTTAGACTTTTTATTGTCAGTTTGCATACACAGAGTGTATACAAATTTAGTTTAGCATAGCTTTTCAGACAGTAAATTAACATTTTGTCATTCTGTGTTTTCTTGTCCATTTCTTTAGTTTTCATTTTGTGTTATATTTAAGCATTCTGACATTTTTGAGTTGCTCCCTGTTGCCCCCTTGTGCTGTTCTCCTTTCCCTCAGTTCCTTCTAGTTACTTCATCCTTCACCTGCTCCCTATCAGATAGTTAGTCCTCCCATTGTTTCTTCATCCATCTTCTAACACGCTTAATCCCAAGTGGAGTTGCAAGGGGTGCTGGTGCCTATATCTCCAGCTGTCAAAGGGCGAAAGGCGGGGTACACCCTGGACAGGTTGCCAGTCCATCAAAGGGCTCCCATTGTTTCTGTCTCCCATATATACACCTTGTGTTCAGTTATTCTTTGCTGGTTTCATTTTGTTACTTGGCTCCCCATGTGTGTTTTCTCCTGAGGTCTCCTGGTTTTTGGTTTCCTGTATTTTGTCTCTGTTGCCTTCTTGATTTTATCAATCCTGCAAGAACTCATCTCTGCCTCCCTCATCTCTGCATTTGGGTCCTTGACCAACCTCCAACCAACCTTGACAAAAGTTACATCTCCTTGAAGTCCCTGTGGTGGTAATCTAAGTGTCTATGAGAAAATTAAAAGGTCTCCCCCTACTGACTCTGGCTGAAAAATCAGACTTGCAGATTTCTCTGCCACTGAGCTGGTGACAGTCTTCTGACTTTGTTTTGGTTCTTCATAGTAACCCAATATAAATCTGCTGCCATCAATTAGTAGTGATGGGAATCACTGTTTGTTTGAGTGAACTAAAACACTAAATCAGTACAATCAATTTATTTACGCAGAAGACGTGTTCACAGAGTCACTCAGTACTATGACTGCATTTCCAAAATTAGACAATTGAGTAATTAACTCATTTAACCCATTCCCTTGGGTAGCAGAGGGCTGCTATTGTGTGGCGCTGAAGAGCAATGTGTGGCTAAGGTTCTTGCTCAGAGACCCAGAGTGCTGGGTGTGGAGATTGAACCGGGTACTTGCAACTTTTTCAGAGCACAAGCACATTGCTCTAATGACAAGGTCAACACTCCCCCTTACATTCTGAATTGGCACTAGTTAAGGCTTTAATTAGATTACGTGTGCTGAATAGTTTTAATAGACTTTCATGGTTCCTTTCATGGAATCTTTTAGTCTCACCTTACCTTGTTTTGAAGTCTTGGCAACCGGAAGTCATTTGTCTCAGATGAAAAACTAGGTAAATATGGCTTTATAGTGACTTTTAGAAGTAAAAAAAATTGTAACTTAGTAAAACATTTACAGGCCACATCTGAAAGAAATTGTTACATAAATCGCTATTATCTAATCCAGATTACTGTATGTCTGTCCTTCCTCAGTTCATTTATATATAATACGTTAGCAGGTGAAACAGCACCACTCTCATTGTAGTCTGAATACTGCATGAATGAGGCATGAGTCGTTCAGGTCCAAACGCAGACTGACAGTGTCAACAAATCAGCCATTTGTTTGTCCACTGGAGACCATCGGCATGAATGACTCCTTATTCACAGCTCGAGTGAATCCCAACCTGATTCCTATTGTGAGTGAGTTACCTAACCATCACTATTAAAGACCAATGCGAATCAGTGCCATTTAAGGTTAGTAAGCCATGGATTTTGGAGGTCTATGATGTGGTCAAGCCAGGAAAAAAGGTAAAAGAAAACCATTGCCTCAAGATGAAAGGAAGGAAAACATATATCAGATTGGGGCAGGGTTTGAACAAGGTATTTACTCTGTGGTAAGACCTTAAATTAAGAAACAAAGATGTCATAGTAATACAAACCTGAAAATTCTGTTATTGGACTGGTATGTACCGTATGTCCTAACCACTATCTAATCAAACTTTAGATTAGATTAGATAAGACAGTGCTCTTTTCAGAAGCTCCTGTTGGGGAAATGATGCTAAAAATGTACTCAGTGAGTCTTTTATCAGTTTCAATGAATGATTTGGTGCACTGATAATGGACAAATCCTATTTGGTTTCCAAACTTGTACACATGCATTAACTCAGTAGATCTACTTTATTTTACTTACCTCTCTCATCTCTTTGATTTTGGATCCTCCCTTCCCGATGAGAGAGCCACACTGACTGGCTGGTACAACAAGCCTTAGGGTGACCGGCGGCTTGCTGGTGGCTGGACTGTTACTCATGGAATTGATTATGTCCTGGAAGAAAGCAGAACCTAATTCATTTTGTAGCAGTAATGTGGCCCCAAACATTCATGATGTTTAATTGAATTAGTAAAACCCATCCATACAAAGCAAATCAACTGAAAAATGTGTTCATTTTTCTATGTGTGCTAAATTGGAAGTGTTTTTTTTTTTTGGCATACTAGCATTGGGAGCCATCCTTTTGATCTACAAACTTCACAAAAACAATTATTAAAACAGAACTTTGTATCTGCAGTCACACTGTTTAAGCAGTATTGCTGGGAAACAAGGTCACTAATTAAATTAGACTGTTTTTGCTTATGTGTTGGCTGTAACACTCTTTTTTTAATTACCACAAGTGCCAAAGATTGGAGTTTGCATCTTTGGATTAAAACAAAACTATATTTTTTTTTCTAAGCAGGACGAAGAACTCTAAACATGTGTGAAAATAAAGTGAGAATAATGTGAGATTAAATGTGTAATTTAGTCTGGCCCCCATCAATGAGACATCAGAAGATTGTTAACTGTTGTCTGACCAATGAGCGCAACTGTCTGTTGACGTAGTAAGTGCGACAGAAAGCTGGTGGGGGAGTGTAAGCAAACAGCCTGTCGGTAAAACAGCGAATACGTCCTTCTTAAAAATTAATTAGCGTAGAGTCTCTTCCTGCTCATGTTTCAACGGAAACCCCAAGTTTAATCCTTCCAAAACTGACTCCAAATCTGAGTCAAACAAGAACTGTGCAATAGTTGTTGTCATCTTCCTTGTTGTGCTTTCTTCAGCGTCACGCAGATTCATTGTCATCCGACCTTCAAAACGCTGCCTGCTTTGCATCCAAAAATTCAAAACACGTCTCTGCACTGAAAAAAGTTATGCAAACGCTTTTTGCATTTACTTAATTATATTTAGTTACTTTAACACAGTTGTTTTATGTCCTACCTTGCTAACATGAAACAATTGGGTTAAAGTAACTAAATATGATTAAGTAAATCCCAAAGACATTGATCGACGCTAGACCACTCGCAGGCAAAAGTTATTTTTGCTGCTGGCCGGTGGGGCTAGTTTACTAGGCTATAGATTATGAATAAACCATGAAATGACCATCCTAAGTGAGGTAATAAAAGGCAAATGAAGTTTTTTTTCTGTTGTATTTCAAAGGCTTTTCACCTCTCATCCAAAAGACTTCTTCTGCACAGCTGTATATGACTAGACGCTATAGGATGAAAGCTGTTGGATTTGTGTATTTTAAAGTATTAGTGGAGACACAGAGATCCAACAAAACACAATTCTGACCAAGAGTGAAGTTGGTCCTGCCTTATAGATAGCATTCCTTATTGAGGCCTTTCCTGCCATTTTCCACTGCTTCTACTGCTAGAAAAATATAGATGTCAAAAGATGCCATATCTAAGTTTAAATGTCTTTAACAGATAAGAGAAATTATCTAGTTGCCTCATTTTTATAAAACCTTGATTTATTCAAAATGAAGCTGTTTATATCAGGCTCTGTACACAGGCTTTTTGCCCTTCATTTTTCCTCTTTGCACTTTCTAATAGTTTAGCATTGAAAGACTATCACCAGAGAAACTTTTTTTTTTATCATTTCTCCACTTCACACATTACTATCACAGCAAAATCGTAACATGCTTTGTGAGGCATAATAATCGGCCTCCACATTTTTTCATTTAAAAGACAAAATAAATAGACAAGCTCATAAAAAAACTTAAACCAAGTACTATTGGATTTGTAATTGTTTATAATGAGAGAAAGGTACCATCAGGATAATCCGTACCTCTTCAAATTTATAGGCAATCATAGCAAAAGCCTTGAATATGGTATCTGTAGGTCCAGTGATGGTCACAATTCTCTCTGGACAGTTTCCTTCTGAAATGTTGATTCTTGCCCCGCTCTGGAAGCAGAAAATAGACACTCATGAAAACAGTACCTAGAAAGGTGTTCACATAAACACCTCTGATAAGTATACATATGCTTTGTGTAGCATGCTGTCATAAGTGTTAGCATGCTAGCCCTAAAAGTATTTCTTAATAAACATCCAGAACATGGCAATATAGGTCAGAGGTCAATAAATGCTCTGCAAGAATGATATATGTGTACGGTCTCCACTGGGCAGCAAAGCAAAGGGACATTATTCTGCTGTTACAACCCTAATTTAGCAAGTCTTGCAGTTTTTTTCATTTTTTCCTGCATTAACTACAAGACATATGAATTGTGTGCGACACATGGAGGGGTAACCTAAGAATATTTCCTTAAAGTTTCACCATTTGGTTCTTGTGGGAAGGTGAATGTGATAAAAGGTGCAATGAGATGCTCAGATTTGTCATGATAAAAGTAAAAATTTATTTAAATTGAGGAACACTTTACTCGGGCAAAGATGATAAGGTTTGGTCCCTTTTCATAGAGAGTAAAAAATACTCTTTTGATAGAGTTGCTTTTTAAGAGTGAAATGTCCCCAATTCAGAGTTGGATCCACTGAAAGACATTTATTTATGCCTCAAATCTTACTCTTTTTTGAACTAGTACAGTAGAAGCCATTCAAAATTTCCCCACTTTCCTTGATGGGCCCTTAGCTTGTCCCATACAATTCCAACATCAATCTTTATAATAAGACATTCTTTCTGTCATGATTGGTGGACATTAAGATCTAAATAGAAGCGTCATCTCCCTGTGATTCAGTTAAAGGCTGCAGTCAGAGATCAAATATGCATACCCAGGAGGAGGAGGGGGTCACTCCAGTGGCTGGAAGTTGAAAGGGATTTTGCTGGGAGTTGCAGAGAAGTTGGCTGCCATTCGGCTCCCGTTTGGTTACAGTAGCAGCCATTTTGAATGGCCACTACTGTAACCTTTATTTCATAATAGAAAGTAAATGGGGTTGAGAAGGGTTGAAGACACACAGCAACCATCAACAGGCGTAGGCTCAAACCTATGACAACCATGTTATGGTGTGGTACCGCCATGCCCCATGCTCAACATAGCATATTGTGCATGGCCAGAAATGGCAGAGAAAATGGAACAGTTAACTCAAGCTCCACCCTCTAAATTGATCGCTCCTACCCGTGTTCAAAATATCAGTCATTCAACATAAGGGGGAAAAAAACACTATTTTTGAGGAAAAATGCTTTTAACTTAAAATAATAATAATAATAACAGCCTTTTTTCCTGTGTGAGAGTGAAGTATGTTCTGGTAAGGTAATTTGTAAGCTTAGGTCCGGTAGGATAAGTTAAGGTGAGTGTGGTGAGAAAAAGTATCATAAGGTTAGGTTGGCCAAGAGGAACTTGTGCTAAAAAGAAAGCAGTAAGGGGAAAACAGCCAGTCGACCGCAAGCATTTTTTTTCTGCAAACCAAATAAGAAATACTTGATACAATGGAGTGTGAAACACAGAATGCAGCTATACGCTCCAGAGGGTAACATTGCTAGTGTAGAAAAGTCGCTTTACAGCTATGTTGTCCTTTCTAAAAGATTTAATTCCTCCATTTATTTCTGAAATAAGTAAAAACGTAATAACTGTCTTGAGCTTTTTAAAAGCAGACAGTTTTAATCTTATCAAAATTGACTGCTCTGTTGCTGGGCAGACTAAGAGCCTAAGGCCCACTGATAAAAATCATCAGCAAAATATTTATCAAAGATCTGGTGTTAATGGCAAAGGAATCATTTTCTTTTTCTAAATAAATAAATTATAACAAAATCTGTCTGCTTCAAGAACAACCACCCAGAGCTCAGGATGTAAATTTATATCATAAAGTAAGAGTACTCCATGTGGGACGTCTAGGTGCCATGTTAAGAAACCCTGGCTAGAATGAAGAAGATATTTTAGGTTTTCAGTGACTAAACACAGATTTATTCTTAGCTAAAGAAACAAGTTATTGAAATGTTTTCAGGTCTTTCGCACATAAACCTTGAATAAGGCCTTGATGTATGCTGATTTACGACAAAAGTATACCTAGTTGGATTATTTTATCAAATATTAGATTTACTAGAAAAATATTAGATTTCTTGTTGTTGTTTTTTTGTGTTATTTAGAGTTTCCGTTTGATCATTTGGAACTATTTTGCTATGAGAGGCAAAGGTCTGAGTCCCGGTGTTCTGTCAGATCAGCATACCCCATCAGACCAGCACGCCTATACTCAATACACATGCACAAGACGTCAGATTTGCGTTTAGACCTTTAGTTTTGTACAAAAAATAGACTTCAAATTACCTCGACGGGTGATTATCCCTTTAATGTAAGGTCAGATCAACAGACATTCAAAAAAACTCCACCAAGTAAGTAATTAAATAGTTTTTGGTACACGACCAAAGGGATACACGCCTGTTGAGGTAGTTTAAAGGGTATTTTTTGTAAAAAAAAAAAAAAAAACTATAAGGATAAATTAAAGGGATAGACTAAAGAGATCCTCATGTAATCAGTAATGTGCTGCCAGTGTTAGCAAAATATCAATGCAGAAACAGTAGGACATATTATGGTTTATTATGTTCATAAATAAATTAATGTTACTCCCAGAAAAGTTATCCAAACATCTTTAATTCCTATTATTTGTCTTCATAAACTCACCTCGTCTCGCATCTTTTTTACAGTTTCTCCTTTCTGTAGCATAAAAACCAAATACAAAGCATCGGAGGTTAAATCCACATCTCTTTAGGAAGTTTCATTTTCCGTATGTGAGAAGGAATACTCACCTTACCAATTATACTCCCCACCTCCTGAAAGAATAAACATCTTTGTAGAGTCTTACAGGCAAAATATTGTATCAAAATGTACAGTATTGTGGATAATTTATGGCATTTAACATAATTGTGTACTGGATGTCCAACAATAGTAGTTAATATTAACTACAGTTAGCTGCAGTGCTCCATTTTCTACATCTGCTAAAGTCCAGATGTGAATCAGGAAAAAATCTCTGTAATCCACATTCAAGGTTTGTCTTACTTTTCCATGCATGAGGAGGCGGATGGTCAGAGTGACATTCAGCCCACCCTCTGACTGGACTTTGCTGTTCTCCATGCTGGGGGATGTGGGAATGGCTCTGCCCTTTAATGTCCTCTGAGGAAGATGGAGTACTGTTATATTCCAGCCAGCCAGTCACCTATCAAAGTAAACATCAGATAAAGACTCATTAAAACCAGTCTGTTTGCCTAAATGTTTAAAAGTTTGGAACTAAAAAAAAAAAGGAAAAATTCAACAGCATATCTTTCTTATTTTTATTAGTTTTACAGATTTTAGAGGAAATTGGATCCTTTCTAGTTATTATTGATACCATAAAGCATTTTATAATTACCATCCTCATTTTGAATTACTTCAGAGAAAGGTAAAAGAAGTGTCACTCTCATGAATCCAATGAATGCTTTTTCACATGACAGAAACATGGTTATGAAAAACAATAAAAATATCTTAAACCATTTAAAAAAATATCATGAAGTCTGATTTCACACTCTGATTCGCTTTTAATCAAGACCACATCATCGTTTTTATTTTCCAAGTGTGTTTAAAGATGTTCAGTGTTTCGGTGTGCAGTTATTTCAGACTTTGGGAATTCACTGATAAGGAATTTCTCCACTGCGAACGTCGAGACTGACATTTAAACTAAGTCCATTGTCTCCACGTCTTTTAAAACCGTACTGATTTCTACTCATTGTAACATTCCCATTTGCTTGTACCCCCCTGGCGTGAGTTTTGTTCCTTTTGCAAGAAGAACGTGGTTAAAATGGTAATGTGCATCGCAGCCTGTTCAGGCTTGATATAATCAGCCACCTTGTTTCATTCTGCTGCAGGGCGCGCTCCTCATTCTCTGTTTTCTGCTTTTAGAGGAGCACAACAGCATCCAGCTACAGGTTATAATTTTCGGCTAGACACTGCTTTATCGTGGCGTTCTCAAACACAAACAGAACAATAGTTATCTAGGAAAAAAAAGATGAGAAGGCATTGTGGGGGGGGTGGGGGGTGAATCGGCTCTTTGGATAATGGTTTATGCAGCACCTCTCTGGATAATAGCAGAGTACATGAATAGCATCAGATTGATATTTTCAACAGGTTTCATTTTCCTAGTGTAAGATTTCCAAGAAGGATTTTAAAGACTTAGTTGGAACAATGCTTACTTCCCTCATTGGTCATTCTGCCATTCAGTTTCTTAGACAGACTTATTATCCCAGAACATATGGATCAGGGGTCACCAACTTCATGGCTACCGAGTCATAGGAAGGGCTACCAATACTGACCTATGAACTGGAGGGATCAGTGTTCACATACAGTAAATCTCATCCATAAAAACTAATTTTTATTCTTATTTTATTCTTTTATTCATTTCTAATTTTCTTTTTAATATTGTCATTTTGAAACCGCTGAAATATGATGAAATAGTAAACATGATGAAATAATACATAAATTATTAAAAAGAAGAGCAACAGAATAAAAAAAAAATAAACTTAGGCGAAGTCAAAACGAACACGAAACGCTGATATTTTCCAAAACGTTTGTCGTAAAGACGGAGACGTAAAATAAATGTGAGCGTCCACACAAATGCATGAAAACGCTGCAAAATGTATGCCAGGCCTGTAAATAGCGCTGTGGTGCCAAAGCAAAAATAAGCGACGAAATGTTGGGCATGCGCACTAATATTTATACATGTTTGCCCTGCGGGCCCATTTTCGTGGTTAAGTCAAATTCAGGTGCTGAACTATGTCGTCGATATTGCTCTGTTCTTCCTGGAGATATTCCAGAAGAAGATTCTGTTGTAAGCCTGACAGCAGGGTGAGTAGCATTAGCAGCAACGCCGCCATTGTTGTTTTGATACTGTGTCGTGCATGCGTGTTTAGAGGTGACGCTATGACGCATGCGTGTAAAAAAAAAAATGCGGTTAGAGCGTAAAGATTGAAACGCGAAAACGGCGTTTCGAAATCTTCCCACTCTGAAGGCTGAATAAAAAAAAGATCGTTTACAGACCCCCGAAACGCCGGCTTCGTGTGGATGAGAGGCTGGTTTGGTGAAAAATTTGTGCGTTTAGGCCAGGGTTTGACTTCGTGTGGACGGGGCCTTAACCCACCGAGTGAGTTCTTCTGACGAAGAGGGCACCCCATGTGGTCCTTGAGGGCCCCTTGGTGCCCGCGGGCACCGCGTTGGTGACCCCTGATATGGATTAAGAAGATTGCAGCCATTTTTGTTTAGTTAGCTGAAGGTGGTATAGCAGATAAAAAAGGTTAAAAAAAGAGAAACCCAGACACCTCTGTGGTGAGACTATTATTTGGGATTTTGAAGCATTTCCAGGTTAAAACTGACATCCAACCCCTCCAGCAAGAAGGAAGACTACTCCAGGACACCAGGACTGACCTAAATAGCCTCCAAAAGGACAATATTGAAAACCCAAACCATCTAAAATTACTTATATCAATCCAAAGGGCCAGTGTCTGTAATCCACACCAGTAAGTCCAACATGGATTAGTCCTGATCTTGAGCTATAAAAAGGCTGGGGTGAATTTAAAGGGGCTTAACATGCAAGAAACATCTCAGCTTGAAGTGAGGAGTGGTGAAGCCATATATTGGTGTCAGAGATTATTGTCTCCAAGTAACATCTCACTGATGTTATGCTAACCAAATAGAGGTAAGAGTGGGGTGTCCTAATTTTTTTCCTTACCCATTGATAGCTTTTATTTATCAAGTTTTTTTTTTTTTTTTTTCAAAGTCCATCTCTTTGAGAAACACCTTGTAAAAGCAGCATTTTATGTTTTACAAAGAAACAAAAATTTCCTCTTAATCATTTGAAAAAAAAATTAAGCAGTTAAAGGGAGGCCGTGAAGGTTTGCTAACTACTGAACCTAACCAAGAACTTATCTAACAGTTCACATTGGGTCAGTATAGTCATTTTATTAAGTCCATAGGCCCAAATGCACAGATTTATTCAGGGGAATAACAGCAACAGAAGCAATTATGCAAGTTGCTTTGAGACGAGGACAGACTCTTTAATCACACGAAGAGGAAGCGTCTGACTGATGGCGAGTGACCTCCAACACTCAACTCTGGAATAGTTACAGACGCCTGAGAGAAAAATTTATCATAGTTATACTACTCCTTTAAATAAGAATATCAGTTTTAAATCCAGGAATTAATTATATGAATAAGCAAAATCTATTAAAAAATTTTAATTTCAACAATTTACATAATTGATGCTTATACAAGCATCTGAAAGTATGCTGTCAATCCAGCCTGGTTGTTTGGATTTATGGGCTGGCTTGCTGCTTGCCTGTTCCTGCTGTGCTCTACTCTGTTAATTAAAGTGAGCAGATTCACCTGCAACTCTCCCAATTACCCTCATTCTTCTCAGCTGTTAATTTGACTATTTATACCTGCCTCTATCAGCTTTTCAAAGCCATATTTTCTCTTCCTCCTTGCCTGCATGAGGTTCTGTTCAGTGTTAGTGTGCACCACCTGCCATTAAGGGTTCCTGTGTTCACCCTAGTGATGGACATTTTCAAAGATCCGTGAACCAATGAACCAGTTTGATACAATTGGCTAAAACTCAACACCATGCTTGATGTATTTGATAATACGGGTAGATAGGCCTGGGAACTACATTTGAACACATTATTATAGGGCTGAACTAATCTGTTCATGATGATGATGATAAAAATAATTTAAAAAACAAATGTCTGACCTGCGAAATTGCAACATGATAAATAGCCCTTCTGATGCACCACAGCTATATGGCAGTGTGGTCCAGCAACTATTTTATCGAATTATAATGTGTGTCCTGGCTTTTCAAGCCCATGTTGATCTGCTTGCGTGATCTGCAAACATGCATGACTTGCACTCAGGAAACTGTACCATCGATTCCAGTCCAGGTCCTCTATCGCGTACCTAATCATGAGTATATATTGTTTCTACTTTATTTAAATTAGGACACTTGTCGGCCCCGTGTAGCACAGTATTAAAGTAGACTGCACCTACAACTAAATAAATACTTTCATAAAATAACCTTGAAATAGTAATTTAAATGATTCTAATCAGCTCTTCTGCCCAGTTATTTCCACAGGTTCTCCACATTCCTCCTGTGGTTCTGACTGATAAAGATTGTATTAAAAGAGAATTATCAGGAGCTAAATAGTGTTTATATAGTAGTTTATATATGGCACTGGCTTTCCTTCCATGTCCCTTCCTCTCTTTACTCACCCAGTTACACGCATTTCACTACAAGACATCTTTTTTCTTTATGTATAAACTAAACTAACCTGATCTTTAATTTATTTTGCTTTTAAACGAACCTATTCTAAGCTATATAATTTAGGGATCTAACTGATAAGATGTCATTTGTGAATGAATATGTTATGAATGAATAAGTGGATGAATGTAGTTGGTATAGGTGTGTGTGTCTTTCTGAGTCTTTAATGTGTGTGTGTATCGTTCTATTTTTGTTCTATGTGTAATTACACATAGAACAAAAATAGACCTAAATATGAAACGTATTCCCTGTCTTTGAATAAAACTTGAAATGGAAAAAAAAAAAAAAATGCGGTTTGAGTTGCAATTCTGATGCATTTTAATAATTTAATAGTATTGAAACGCCCAGATTCTTTGAATTAACTGAAGTTTGACATGAAGTGTTACGTTATGAGGCCTCGCTAGTAGCAGTCACATGACTGGGGTGCGCCCGAAATATTTCTCAGGGACACATAAATAAATAAAATAAAAATGCGGACACACATTCACACATAACACTCACATCCAATAATACTAGGACCAAAGACCCGGTGGCCCCTGTGGTTGGTCCCGGGACTATCGGATGACCCAATAAGTGAACCTAAAATCCGGATGTGGGGGGGGAGTGGCGACACCGCCACACCAACCCATCTCATTCCTGCTTCAAGCCCGGCCCCCCACCCCTCACACAGACCGTACCACCCACAGCAAGAGCCCCCCCCGGGGGCACCCACCCCAAAAAAAAACAAAAACAAAAAAAAAAACACTTCTGCTTCAGGGACACTTCTGCTTCACAAAGGACAACGCTGTGTCGAGCAGACTGACTCAGGCCTAATATCACTCGCTCACCCTGCCCTGAATGGAATTGGCATTTAACTCTGGTCATGTCCTGGACTGCCT